ACGTTCCTACAGCGTAGGCTGCGCTGACCAAATGGAAAACCCGGGCCCCATCCAAAAGGAGACGGAGCTGCACATCATCGAGCCGGAAGCCCAGGAGCAGAGCGCTCAGAGGCTGGAGGAGTTCAGACGCCTGGCTGCTGAGGTCCAAGCACTGGAGAAGACGTCCAAGGACAACGCAAATGAAAATCAGCCTCAAAACCTCACGCAGAACCAGGCCCACCAAAAGTCTGTTGGCATAGTTACTGATCAAAATATGAATAATCTTCCAGCCACCCAAAGAAAGCCAGAGAAGGAACGCCGTTTTCAGGACGCAGCGGTGTCTACAGAGCGCCTGGAAATCCGGAGCGCTGCAGTTGGCGTCACCGAGGCCATGCTGGGCACGAGCAGCGAAGCTGAGAAAGAGATCGAGCTCCAGCAGCAGACCATCGAGTCCCTGAAGGAGAAGATCTACCGCCTGGAGGTGCAGCTCAAAGAAACCACTCATCAGATGGAGATGGGCAAGCTGAAACTGGAGCTCCAAGCTGCCGGTGGCTCGAACAAGAAAAAAGCAGACAAAGGTTCGATGGTGAAGCCGGAGATGTACAGCGCCTGTGTGGAGGCGAAAGTCCAGACACGCAGCCAGGGAGTGGGCGAACATCTGGACTTCAGCCATGTTAGCGCTGCGAAAAGTCCACAGACTCTGACGAGAGGAGTGTCCTGTCAGCCTTCTGTGCACAGCGTCGCCACAGGACCGGATATCCCCATGCACCGGTGGGTGGTGCACGAGCAGGTGGAGGTGTCTGACCAGTGTGTAGGACGGCACGTGGAGACGTGCCATCGGCAGGTAGGCGTAGAGCTCAGCGTTTGTGAGGTGGGAGTGAACACGGAGGAGCTGGTGGACAGCTTGACCCTCGGTGAACCCGCGATGGAAGCCAGCAGAGAGCAGAGATCGGTCGGCTGTGGAGACTGTTCGGTGGACGTGATCGTCAGTCCCATCAAGACGCTGGTGTCGCAAGGAACTGAGACTGACCGGGTCAGTCAAGTGGACTCTGGAGTCACGGCGGCGCCTGAGTTACTGACTCAGGCGACCAGCACCGAGGCAGCAGTTGCACACAAATCCATGAACACGAAGCACGCCGTCCTCTCAGACTCGTTCACGCACATGGAGTCGGTTACATCAGATAAACAAACCAACACGGTGGTCACAGAAACCCGGACCGTCGCTGCCGGAGAAGGACTCGTCAAAGACGTTCACGCAACGGCAAAGATGCGTTCGATCG